CCCCCCCCCCCCCCACCCTCGAAAATATCAGTAATGTAGGCGTTAAACCGACCATACGATGATTCGAGCACGACTATGAATGTACGATATTTTCCTCGGGAAACAAGTGTATGCCGTTTAATCGATAAAACGAGCGAGCGAATATAACGACTCGCCTGCAGCATCAACGTTCACGGACAAGACATAGAGCTCGTTTAAAAATTTCGTTTCCCCTCATCGTGTTATCTAATAGCTTGCTTATGCGACTCGATTATGTTATATCCGAAGCTCTCGCGATGAAGAAGAACAGCGAAATGTTACGTTCGGCAAACAGCCTCCATTCGGTATCAAAGAAAAATTCAAGCCATAGAGAGAGAAGGTAAGGAGGTATGAAGGTACGAAGGGACGTCGCCCTAGAGACGAGCCATTAAACGAAGATCTTTGGCCCCTTATCGATCGTCGCGGAAGCCAAGCGTTGGCACAGCTATAGCTTACATAATGGGCCGCGTAGCCGGGCAGAGAAGCCCTTGGGTCGGCCTATTTCCGAGTTGTTCAGCGCTCCTTCGACCCTGCAAAACGTCCTCGAGCGTACGGTATGTAAGTAAGTGCGATTACGACCGCGAGCAAGATTCATTAAGAACACCGCAGCGGCCGCTGATCCATAAAAAGCCAGGTTCGAACAGCAGAGAAAAAATGGCTTTCTCGGAATGGCGATAGTTTCGAAATAGGCGGCTACTGCCGCTACTGGTGCTGTTGCGGCGACGCGGCGCGAAATCTCACAACGGAGGAACGTTCGCTCTCTCGCCTTCCGCTCTCTGGATTTCGCTGACATTCCGATCGTATTTTCCGTTCGCTCGTACCGCTCTCCATCCGCGCGCGCTCGTTCGCTCGTAAATCGCGAAGGAAATAATGTCGCGTGAAGGCACAGGTGCCCAGCGGGGCGAGAGGCGCTCTGAAATATATGTGGGCGCGCGCGCGCGCGCGCATGATAGTGAGAGAGAGAGAGAGAGAGAGAGAGAGAGAGTGAGTGCATATAAGTGCAGAGTCGCGGGCGCGAACGGCATGCGAAGCAGGAATCCGGGAGAAAGCAACGAGCGGCTGCTAAATAAACGCGCGCCCGGGTAAGTGTTCAGGGTGTCGTCAAAGGTCGACAGCGCGAGAAAGCGGTGGCTGCGAAAATTTCGAGCCAGACAAAAAAAACCGCGCACTTTCATCCCTTTACCACTCCACATTCCCGAACAATGTTACGTGTCTGCTTCGCGCAACTTTTTCATTGATTCGTACATTTCTCGAATTGCGTGTAAGGAAAGCCTCCTCCTGACGACAATTACGTGTCGTTATAATTATGTGCGCATAGGCGGAAAAAGCGTAATGACACCATCCGATCGCGACAAATCTTTCGGATGCCACTCTGTATCTTATCTATTTTTTCAAATCAAATCAATTGCTTTTTGCGAGCTCGTAATCTTTTCTCGACACAATTACATATCTATCATCGTGATTGACACATATTTTTCTTCTCGCGTGATGCGTAAAATATAACAGTACATTTGACATTTAATTGGCTATTTATATACCAGAGCAAAATTTAATACTTATATCTTTATCTATTTTCACGGTATATAAGCAAAACTCATATATATATATATATATATATATATATATATATATATATAGTATTTTTGAATAGAAATTTAATTAAGAAATTTATCATTGTACTACCGTTAAAAGATTTTTAAGATTGAAACAAACAAATATTTCCATTCTTTTAGGTATAAGCACTAGTTGGTAAGTAAGAAGCCAATTTAATTCGAGAAATCTCCACGATTTATTCCTGCAACCTTACTTTCATCCTTACTTTCCCTTAAATGATTACGTGTAGGATAATTTTTAGAATTTAACAACATTCATGATGCTGTACTTGTATACAATTAAATTCGTAGAAGAGAAAACGTCAGCTTCAAGATAATGATCATGAAATATCTTGACAAAATTATGCTTTTTCCAAAAACTCTACCATTCCCATGATACTAAGCCAATGCAAATTACCTGAATTTATTATGAATTTATATACAATTCTCAATAATTATTACAAATTTTACAAATTTAAAAATTAAATTCCGACATTTTAACATTTTTTTATTAGTTATATTTTCTATAACTAATCAATTTTTCCCCAATGTTAAATAACGAATAAAGTAAATTCATTTGTTATCGCTTACATATTGTATAACAGATTGATAATTTGAATTGTTCTCTAATATTTATAAATTGAATTTCTATTATAAAGATGAAGATAATTCTATTTTATGTTGATATCGTTCGTTCAATCAATAACGAAACAAACTCCTTGCTTTTCTTATTTATTTATTTATATATGTTTAGATATCGATCATCAATTTTGTTTTATCAAATAATGGATATTCTTTAAAATTTGCACAATTACGTAATTTCAATATTAAAAACTCAAGCCGGTTCTGTATAAAGAGACTCCCGGTACTAGTAGAGACATATAGATTTTTCAAAAGTGAAACTACATTAGCATTTCGCTATATTTCATCTCAAGCCATCTTATTGATACATTTTAAACATAATTGTAAAATTACAGTTTGATAGCGCAAGAAAAAAAAATAAAATATAAAAATTGAATCCGTTTTATTTATTGAAACTATTATTAGCTAATTCATGGAGAATATCAATGTATATCGTTTTGACATCAATATTTGATTTTTCCATTACTATTGTTTTTAAAACGATATCTCAAATTATCCTCATAATCATAATGTATATTTATAATATAAAATATTGAAAATTCGATATTTTCTGGTTGATATTTAAGACTTTTTATAGTCATGCAATATGCTCTAAGTTAAGTCAAAGAATGTTCGGTGATGGTAGTAATTATTAACAAACAAATTAATGTATATATATATATATATATATATATACATATATATTATTTAGTAGATGTTAATAAATTTAATTATATAAGTCTAAATAAGGCTAAAAGTTGTTACATCGATGGCAAAAATATAAAACTAAACAAGCTGTCCAACATGTAATCATGTAGAATTTCATTCTTTTAAACAATAATTATTTGCTCCACCTATAAAGTATACAAAAATTCTACAATTTACAAAATGATCATCATTGTAGAAAATATATTTGGTATTTATACTGAAAATCATGTAAATTAATTAAAATGTAAATGCAATTTAGTAAAAGTGCAAATATATTTATGTACAAGTGATGAAAAAAAAAAAAGCTTGATAATTGACGTACTAATTCTATTCGCGTTATAGACGTTGCTTTTACAAAAGTCATTTCGATACAAAAGCGTATGAAATGCGGAGCGCAAGTGAAAAGGTTTTTTTTTCAACCTTCGATATTAAATTCAATTTTCCAAATATATCAAATTTAATAATAGTTGTGATAGTAGATATGAAAATATAATCGAATACAAATATTTTATTCGTACTTAAATGTTTAAAGCTCTTAGATACGAAAATTATACTATTATTTAATAATATCAAGAATTATGATTATATAAACAGAGTATATTAAACAACAATAAATACATCTATCATTATAAAACAAAAATTTATTATGAAAGTCATGGTATGTACATATGTATATATATATATATATATATATATATATATATATATATATTGTTAAGGCTTCAGAGAAAAGATGGTTAATTTTTACAAATTACCAAGTAGAATAAGAGACGTCTAAACTTCAACATCACTTTATTATTTAATGGATTACAAAGAGTACAATACTAATTAAATGCG